GAACAATCAAGCTGATTCTGATGTCATTCGACTCTGCTCGTCGAGCTCTTTCGAATGAGATATTATTTGACCAATTTGCGCTGTTTTTATTTGAAATTTTTCCAAAAATGTCAAATGTTCGAATTCCGGGTTCGGGATTCGACTTTTTCAAAATCCGAGTTCAGATTCGTAATCAGCATAATTTTTTACCCTAGAAAAATCCTTTTTCTTATTTTTAAGATTTTTTTCCGCAGGGACCACGATTCTCCGGGATTGCCAAAATCCTAGAAACTAACCCTTAGGCATAATGGTCACACGTTTGGCGTGGATTGCACACAAGTTGGTATCTTCGAAAAGACCAACAAGATATGCCTCAGAAGCCTCTTGCAAAGCAAGAACAGCGCTAGATTGAAAACGCAAGTCGGTCTTGAAGTCTTGCGCAATCTCTCTGACCAGCCGTTGGAATGGAAGTTTGCGGATGAGCAATTCGGTCGATTTTTGGTAACGACGAATTTCACGCAAAGCAACAGTTCCTGAAAAAAGTGAAGTATTCCAATGAGATCAAGTCAAAAAAATATTGTCTTGCCTGGGCGGTAGCGGTGCGGCTTCTTCACACCTCCGGTTGCCGGTGCAGACTTGCGCGCAGCTTTGGTGGCGAGCTGCTTACGCGGTGCCTTTCCTCCGGTAGATTTACGAGCAGTTTGTTTCGTACGAGCCATTTTTGTTTTTGAAAGCTGTTGTAATTTTTAGACGTTGAACACTTTTTACTTTTGAAAAGTGAGGGTCAGTTAGTTAAGAAAATGCTTTTATATCGCTGCAGTTTGATGAAAAACACGCCTCCTAACAGAAAAAAGCGAAGCTAGTTTGCCCGCCAATTATTTAAAAACCACAAATCTGTGTAGTAATTAGAGAAAAAGAAAGTAATAGACGCAGAATTTTCCGTGTCCGGTTAACTCATCTACTCGTTAACTCATCTACACGGCCAAAAACGTTCAACTCATCTAAACGGCTAAAATTCCTTAACTCATCTACACGGCCAAAAAGGGATCAACTCATCTAATCGTTAACTCATCTATTCGTTAACTCATCTACACGGCCAAAAAGGGTCAACTCATCCAATCGTTAACTCATCTAATCCTTAACTCATCTACACGGCCAAAAACTTTCATCTCATCCTTTGGAACGAGACTATTGAGTACCAGTCGTTTGAGTCTCTCGCCGTCTGAGTCTCTGGCCGTTTGAGTCTCCGGCCGTTTGAGTCTCTGGTAAGTAGGGTCCATGACCAGTTGAGTCCATGGCCAGTTGAGTCCATGGCCAGTTGAGTCCATGACCAGTTGAGTCCATGGCCAGTTGAGTCCATGGCCAGTTGAGTCCATGACCAGTTGAGTCCATGGCCAGTTGAGTCTCTAGCCGGTTAAGTCCCTGGTCAGTTGAGTCCCGGCCGTTTGAGTGGTTGATTACCGCCGGTTGAGTCTTGGGCCGGTTGAGACTCAACTGACCAGGGACTCAACCGGCTAGGGACTCAACCGGCCGATATTTCAAGGATTGGATGAGTTGACCCTTTTTGGCCGTTTAGATGAGTTAACGAATAGATGAGTTAACGATTAGATGAGTTGACCCTTTTTGGCCGTGTAGATGAGTTAACGAATAGATGAGTTAACGATTAGATGAGTTGACCCTTTTTGGCCGTGTAGATGAGTTAACGAATAGATGAGTTAACGATTAGATGAGTTGTATAGGAGCCGAATTTTCCCGCCAAAAATTATTTTTTGTTAAGGAAGGAAAAGATGGAGAAATGAAAAGACTATAGAACAGACGATTATATTAAATGGGCTCCCATACAAAATACCGAATTCTTAAAATATGGAATCTCAAAATCGCGAATCGGCTAAAAAAGCTCAAAATATGGAATCTCAAAATATCGAATCTCAAAATATGGAATAGGCAAAAAAAGCTCAAAATATCGAAAAATATCGACAATGCGGCAAAGGCCAGTTGAGTCTGAACAAAGTTGTGACCAACTTCTTCGTAAAAAAATTTTAAAAATAAGAGAAAGTATTTTTCTAAGGTAAAAAAATGTGCTGATTACGAATCTCAGCTCGGATTTTGAAAAAGTCGAATCCCGGACCCGAACCGAATTTCGAATCCCGAACCGAATTTCGAGTTTCCGAATGATAGCTCATCTGAAAGAGCACGTCGAGCTGCATCGAATGATACCAAAATCAATGAAATCCGACCTGATTGGACTGAGTTACAGATCCCTGAATAATCAGAAAAAGACCTGCAGCGGCACTCAAACGGCCCTTTTCGTTTTTAAAAAATTCGACATTTTTAACTACTTTTTAGCCGATTCGGTATTTTGAGCTTTTTTGGCCGATTCGCGATTTTGAGATTCGATATTTTAAGATTCCATATTTTGAGCTTTTTTGGCCGATTCCATATTTTGAGATATTTTTACCGATTCGCGATTTTGAGCTATTTTAGCCTATTCGCGATTTTGAGAATTCGGTATTTTGTGCGGGCACGATTAAATGTTTTATTTCTCATACGCGTCCTTTCTGCGTCTTTTCTCAACAAAGACCGCCCATCTTCTTTTCTTCTATTTAAGCTTTTTCCTTCTTGTCCACCTCACAGTTTCACTGTAAACAGCAAAATTACCAAGCTTTCTTTCATCTTTAACAACTCTCAAAACAATGTCAGGACGTGGTAAAGGCGGTAAAGCGAAGACCGGAGGAAAGCAGAAAACTCGGTCTTCGCGTGCCGGACTTCAATTTCCTGTTGGACGTCTTCATCGAATTCTCCGCAAAGGTCATTATGCTGAACGGGTCGGCGCTGGCGCTCCCGTCTACATGGCCGCTGTTCTTGAATACTTGGCTGCCGAGGTTCTCGAATTAGCAGGCAATGCTGCGCGAGACAACAAGAAGACTCGCATCAACCCACGGCACTTGCAACTTGCCGTGCGAAATGACGAGGAACTTAATAAGGTTGGGAATTTTTGTTTAATTTTAGGTTTTCATTTTTTTATTTTTTAGTTGCTCTCTGGCGTGACCATCGCGCAAGGCGGGGTGCTTCCCAACATCCACGCCGTTCTGTTGCCAAAGAAGACTGCAGGCGAGACTGCTTGAAGGAATTGCTGTGACTTCAAAAAACCAAACCCAAACGGCCCTCTTTAGGGCCACAAATGTAATAAGTGAAACGAGACATTGACTATTTTGTGTTTTTTGTGTAAATTTTGCATTTTATTAATTTTTGGAGTAATTTACTTAAAAATTTTTCTAATTTTTTTGTTGATTTCGTGGTTTTCCATCGTTTCTCGTCTGTTGAAAAACAAGATGAATTTTGAAGGCTTTTCTAGTTTGTGTTTTTATTATAAGAAAATTGTATACAAAATGGGATTGGTTGCTTCAAAATTATGAATTCTGATAAATTCATTTAGACTATGAGGTTTGTTAAAAATAAAATATTTAAAATTGTATAAATTTTCTAGTTAATTTCTTTTGTTCTAATTTCCCATTTTTTAAATACATATTTCTTAGTAGTTATACACTAAGGTTGTCGGATTCGAAAAAAAGACAGAATATCCGAAAATTTCCAACTAGTCGACACCTTACTATACACACGAATCATGTGACATGATTATTTATAGAGTAGTTTATTTCGTGTCGAATATCAAAGCATTGTCCACATCTCAATTTCGCTTAGGGTTCTTTTACTTTCGTTATCTTTTGTTAAATCCCTATGGCTATTGGGATCGAGATAAATATATTGAATATTAAAATGGGTAGCATAAATAGATTTTTTGTTATCTGTAGGTAAAAGAGTGTCGAATGGTATTTTACCTATCACCCAGTTTACTTTATAGCTTTTTCCAAATTTTCTGAAATATCTGAGATAACCTAGCCAAAAATGTTGCTGTTTTATCGTTAACATCGTTTTATGTGACGGCTCTTTATCGGCAAACTTTTTATTCTCAATGAGGTTGAGGATTGCGTTCGTAGCAACAATTCTTTCCAAAAACCAAGCCAAGCTGTTTTGTTTTGCCCGCCAATTTTTAATATTTGCTCATCGAAGAATAAAAAACAAAACCTTCCAAAAAGGAAAAGATCGTTTTATTCTCAAGGAGAAAAAGGAGAGTAGTGACAATAACTCTACATAAACCCAAGCCAACCGAAATATGTAGTTGATGAGTTAATAAAAGGAATTGAAATGAGAAAAAATAATCTGATGAAAAAACTGTGTTTACGCTTTGAAATAATTCTAACAAAGTAAGAAGCCCCTCAATTAAATATTTTTCTTCAAAGACACAAAAAGCCAAGCCAAAGTTTTGATTCAGAATTAGTTAAAAAATGCTCATTAAAATTCAAAATAAACGTCCTTTAATGGAGGAACAAAATCCACATTTATAATCCACAAAAATCCTGAATATCTCACTCTTTAACCCACTTTCGAGGAGATAAAAAGTTGAAGGATCTATGGGATTTAACTAAATATCGAGGGATTTGGCAGAAAAAAGTCCCTCAACTATATAAAAACAATCAAAAAATTCTCAGTCACCGGGGGACATTTTGGGATTTGAAGGTTAGCAGTAAAGTATATCAGTCTAGGTTTGACGTAGATCGGAAAACAAATCCGTTTATTGTTTAAAGATGGAAAACGATAGAAAAATTATAAATTGTTGAAAATCAAATGTAAGAATTATTCTGGAATTTAAATTAACTATAAGCATCTCAGTCTGAATTAAAGCTCGAATTTAACGCAAAACCCCAAACAAAAAGAGGATCAACCAAAGCCAAGCCAAAAGTTCTCAAATATTGAAACGTTCAGTGGAGGAACAAAGACTGTGTTGGAGCACATACCTTCCTAACATCGAACAGAAAAAATGATACAACTGTTTCTAACGTTTCACAAAAATTATAAAAAAATATTAAAGTCAAAAAAGAAAATTTTACACAAAAAACAAATTAAATAGTCAATGTCTCGTTTCACTTATTACATTTGTGGCCCTAAAGAGGGCCGTTTGGGTTTGTTTGTTGTTTTCACTGCATTTTGCCAGATGTTGTTTAGCCACCAAATCCGTAAAGAGTACGTCCTTGGCGTTTCAACGCATAGACGACGTCCATGGCTGTGACAGTCTTTCTCTTGGCGTGTTCGCAATAAGTTACCTGGGAAATTAAAAAGTCAAAATCAAAAAATTTGCTTAAAAAATCTTACCGCGTCGCGGATCACATTTTCAAGGAAGACTTTCAGAACACCTCGAGTCTCCTCGTAAATGAGTCCGGAAATACGTTTCACTCCACCACGACGTGCCAATCGACGGATTGCCGGTTTGGTAATTCCTTGGATATTATCCCTCAAAACTTTTCGATGACGCTTAGCGCCTCCCTTTCCAAGTCCCTTTCCTCCTTTACCACGACCTGACATTTTTGTTGTTGAAAAGCGTTAAAATTTGAAGAAGCAAAATGGTTGTACAGAAAACTGTGAGGAATGCCGTTGTTTTTCGACTTTTATATGAAATTTTAAGGCGTCGCTTGTTTTTGGCGGGAAAACTGAGGGGCGTAAACCTAGTAGAAATAAGAGAAGAAGAAAGCAGAAAAGAACATTTGGTTTTATGAGAATTTATAAAGAAAAAGAGAAATATGGCTTGCATTATCGTCATGTAACTCTCTTATTTTTATCATCCTCTCTCTCTTATTTTTCTCTATTTACTTAATAAATAAAAAGTCAGACATTAAATATCAATAATTTTCTCTAGTCTCTAACTCTTTCGCAATTGCAGAGGAGGCGGGCCTTTCCTCTTTGTATAAAAGTCTTAGGTTGACGATTCTTCTTCACTTTTCAACCGCTTTTAAAAAACAACGTTCATCCAAAGCTACAACAACTTTTAACGAAAATGGCACCTCCAAAACCTTCTGGGCCCTATTTCAATTGTCCACAGATTCTGTGGTCTGCGTTCTGTGCACAGACCGCAGAACCACAGAAATTCTGTTTCAATTATTCCACAGATTCTGCGGAAAAAGGAGTCCGCAGATTCTGTGGAAACATGCACAGAATCTGTGGAAACATCCACAGATTCTGCAAAACATCCAAAAACATGCAAAAACCACAGAATTCTATTTCAATTATTTTTCTGTGCACAGAAAAAAATCCACAGATCTGTGGCTTTTTTAGTCGATTCTGTGCATTTCTGTTTCAATTATTTCTGTGGTCTGCGGAAAATACACAGAATTCATTAAAAAATCCACCCTAAAATTTTTTCTGCGAATTTTTTACGGAAAAACTTTAAAAATTTTTTTCTAGGCCTAGGCTTAACCAAATTTTAGAATTTTTAAAGATTATTAGAGTTTGATTCATTCTCTATTTTTCGATATAAAAATTATAATTTTGTTACTTAAAATTATTACTTAAAATTAATTTTGAAAAAGGTACATCATTTTTTAGCATTTTTTGTTATATCCAAGCAATAAAAAAATAAAAAAACGCGAGAGATTCTGAAATTTAGAGCTATGATGTTCTAATCATCATGGATATCTCTAATGAGGGGATTTTTCCCCGGGATCTCTTGAGGATATCTAGCCTGGGATATCTCCTATGATCTCTCATTGATATCCGTCATAATCTCTCCTCCTATTTAATGATAGATTTCCTCCTTAATCCCTCCAATATATTAAACCTCAAAATCAATGGATATCCCACTTAATCCCTCCTCTACGATTTTCAAGTTCCGATGACTGAAATTTTGGATTCCAGGCATTTTCGATTTCCAGGAACCTCAATTTCTGACTAAACAATCCCCAGTTTTGTAACATTTCCCTCCCTTGCAACAACATCTATCGTAGTCTCCTGACTTTTCCATCTCCTGATTTTTCCGATCCGAAACATTAATTTAATTGGGGATTTAAGGATATTGGATGAACCAGAAAATTAAGCGGTATATCAGCGGTTTTAAAGTGATATCTAAAAGATTTAAATGGATTTTATGTGATTTGGAGGGAAAATTTTTAAATTTTTACAATATTTTTCAGTTTAATTTAAGAATTTTTAAAGTTTTTCTTCAAAAAATCAGGTACCATTAATACTGCAGTAGTACCGAACTGTCCTAACCATTTTTCGTTTCAATAACACTTTATTTTCAAAAACGCGGAAATAAAAAGTTTGAATTTAGAAGGAAAAATACACAGAACCACAGGAAAATAATTGAAATAGAAATTCTGTGGATCAGTGGAAAAAATCCACAGATTTCTATATTTTCCACAGAAATTTTCATCCACAGAATCTGCGGAATGTTTCCACAGAATCAGTGGTTGATTTCGCAGAATCTGCGGGCACCACAGATTCTGTGCACACAGAATTTAATTGAAACAGAATTTCCGCAGAATCTGTGTTCTGTGCACAGAATGCAGAATCTGCGGACAATTGAAATAGGCCCCTGGTAAAGGAGCGAAGAAAGCTGTCAAGTCAACGAAAGCTGTGCGCACTGGAGACAAGAAGAGAAAGAAGTCGCGAAAGGAGTCTTACTCGGTCTACATCTACCGAGTTTTGAAACAAGTCCATCCGGACACTGGAATCTCCTCAAAGGCGATGAGCATTATGAATTCGTAATAATTTTGTTTTTACTTTTCAGTTCACATTTTCTTATTTTAAGGTTTGTCAACGACGTGTTCGAGCGAATTGCTGCTGAGGCTTCACGACTTGCGCACTACAACAAGCGCTCTACCATCTCTTCACGGGAAGTGCAAACTGCTGTTCGTCTGATCCTGCCTGGCGAGCTTGCTAAGCACGCCGTTTCGGAAGGAACTAAGGCGGTGACGAAGTATACTTCGTCCAAATAAATGGCTCAACATCGCCAAACAACAAACAAACCCAAACGGCCCTCTTTAGGGCCACAAATCTAATGAGTGAAACGAGACATTGACTATTTAGTTCTTTTTTCTGATAAAATGTATATATTTTGTTTTTTTCTGCTATTTGTGTTTCGAGGGTTTTCTAGTATGATAGGAAATTAGGCTTTCCTGGTTGTTTGGAAAATTTTTGATTTTAAAGGGTGGGTAATATTGTCGTTTCCCAGCCCCCTTTTTTCCTCCCAATTTTCTACCCTATGTTTGTACGGGATGGTCAAAATTTCCCCTTTCTTTCATCAAATTTGCCTTTCCATATTTTGCCTAAAAACAATCAAAAAACGACACTATTACCAAATAATTTAGTAGTAAATAAAAAAGGATAAAAAAGTGAGACATGATGCCAAGGAAAAATAATTTTCCTTATTTGAAAATGTTTTTTATAATTTTTGGCATCATGTCTCACTTTTTTATCCTTGTGAAAGAAATGAATAAAAAATTAATCTTTTTTGATTGTTTTTAGGCAAAATATGGAAAGGTAAATTTGATGAAAGAAAGGGGAAATTTTGACCATTCCTTACAAACATAGGGTAGAAAATTGGGAGGAAAAAAAGGGGGCTGGGAAACGACACTATTACCAAAGCGTGTTCTGCGGCCAAAAACAAACTTGGTGTCCTGCTTAAATCATAGGGGGAAGGGATGTGAAAATCTCGACGACCTCAACAAAATTTGTAAATGGCGTTTCTGTTCGAAACGAAGGTGATAATGATTTCGATGCATGGCTTGAGAAGCTTGGACTTCTTCATGGAAAGAGAACTTGCTACAAATGTGGGGGTCGAACAACAATAAGTGTTAAGGAAGACGAAAGATATGGATGTTGGCCTTGTGAAAGAAATGAATAAAAAATTAATCTTTTTTGATTGTTTTTAGGCAAAATATGGAAAGGCAAATTTGATGAAAGAAAGGGGAAAATTTGACTATTCCGTACAAACATAGGGTAGAAAATTGGGAGGAAAAAAAGGGGGCTGGGAAACGACACTATTACCGCATTTTATTTTGAGAAAAATGAAGCTTTAAATAATTTATAAATAAAACTACAATTGAAATTGAAATGTTTCTTTGTGATTTGTACAATTTTTGATATAAGAATGTGTTTCAAATAATAAAATATGTATTTAAATAGGAATATTCTCGAAATTTCAATCTTTTCTTTAACTCATTTTTTCAAAGTAAATTTTTGTAAGGTAACATCACCAACCACACTTACACGATTCACTTGTGTGGGTACAGAACCGGGAGAACGATAATAAAATTCACAAAAATGGCAACCATCAATTAATACTTTAAGGGATTCTAAACAAGCAATAATTCTTATATCGGCTGTACTTCCGGGTGAAAATGGAAAACGGCTCATTTGGCGTTCTTCTTTTTGCCATAAACCTCCTTGTGATGTGTTATTTCGAACAACGGAGCCCTTGAAAGAAAATTATTATTAAAACTGGAGATTAAATGAAGAGAATGGAAAGGGATGGCTGGATAGAGTATCTTTCAATAATCGAATAGAATATTTAAGCTCAACTCCCAACACATTCAGAAAAACTAAAAATTCAGGAACTTGGCTCACATCGGTTATTGTCCTCTAACAAATTCCTTAACAAAAACTGTTTTCTACCCCAATTTTATGTATAATAGTAGAGACGGATGAACTGAGAAAAATTTTTTAAGCCTTGTTTCAAGTCGGATTTTCAAATTTGTCCTCAGGTCGGATTTAAAAAAGTCTAAGTTTCAGATTTTCGAATCCCCCCCCTCCCAATAATATGTAGGCCTTATAAAAATTTAAAAAAGAATACCCTATCCCCAGCAGCAGAATTTTGTGTTGGGAAATCAATTCTCATGTGGAACAAATATTCATCATTTAAACACTCCAAATTAATTGCAAAAGATATTGGATTTAATAAAGGTGTCAAAATCAACAAAATTTCTCGTGGAGGAAGAAATCCACCATTTAATTTAAAAATAAAAGGAATATTCTTTTAAAAAAATAAAATAATTTTAAAAGATAAATAAATTAACCGGTTTTAAAATTTCTATTGGGCCAGTTTCGTCTTCTATACATAAACTATCACTATTATCTTCACTTGGACAAGAAGTTATACTTCCTGGTTTCTTTAAAAAAATAAAAGATTTTATTAAAGAATTAATTTAAAAGAAATATTTTATTTTTCAAAAAATTAAAAAAAAAATTTCTGGGGTTTTTTAATTATCAACTATATTACAGAAATTAATTTTCATTATAGAAAAATCCTTTAGAAAACATATAGCTGGGAGACAAAAAATAATTTTATAAAAATTTTAAAATTTAATTTTCGGCCCCCTTCCAAATAATTTTTAAAAAAATTTCTAAATAAAATAAAAACTAAACAGTTCCCTGATATTCAATAACATCAATACTAACACATCCACAAATAAAAATACATTTAATAGTTTCCAAAGGCACTCTATGCACAAAATCATTTAAATGTTTTCCATTTACAGAAATCTTTAAAAAATAAAAAAAAATTAATTAGTTAAACTAACAAGGAAAAGTTGCGAGGTGTCCCACCTAAAAAGGGTCAAGACCAGGCTCATTTGTTAGAGAATGTGCCCTTTCTAGCAAGGATTTTGAGCCGTTTTTGCCCGTTTTTTGATTTGGCCAAGATATGGCCATTCAAAGTCCCAAAATCTAGACATAGAAAGTCAGTTAGTTGGATTTTTTGGAGCTCACATCTACCCTCTATTCCCCCATTCTTAAATAGGCCAGACTCTTCTAGTTAACCCAATTAAAAATTCAAAAGAAAAAAAACCTTAAAATAATCTCTCAAAATTAATATTCTAATAGAAAAAGATTTTTCAAAAACAAGATTGTTTTGATTTCTCTGCTCTGTCCCCCAAACATTATTAATTAAAGAATTAATTACAATATCTCTGTCAGGCTTTGAAAAGCTGAAAAAAAATTTAAAATAAATTTTAAATAATTTATACAGTGCCAGTCCACGATCAAATCTTGGATTTATATGTAAAGCCTGAAAATTTAATAAAGTTAACGGGAAATAAAAACGAGCAGGCAACGATACAGGGTCCTTATGGCAGTTATTCCTAGGTGCTTTCGTCCACCACGTACATAACGTGGTGGAGGAAACTCCCCATGAATGTGGGTTTCACCGGAACCGAAATTTTTACCAGAACCGGATCCAAAGTTCCGACCCCGGAACCCAAAACAAACCCCTGGAACTTTCATCGGAACCGACAGTTCCGATGAAAGCCCCCACGGATGTGAGTTTAAGAGATAAAACAAAGTCATCGTTATGGCAGTTCAGTCGGTAGAACACCTGACACACCTAGCCATAAATGTCAAGAATCTAATGGTTTGATGCTTGCCCGACAGCAATGGAAAACTTCCAAAATTTCTCTGGAACCGGTTCCGATGCTGGAACCGCTTTTTGAATTTCTTCGGTTCCATTTCCGGTTCTGGAACCTTTCCATTACTGCTGCCCGATGTTTAAAATTTTCTTAATCTAAAACAAACCTTATCGTCTCTATGTTCACCCTGCACCAATTTGCCACAACACAAATCAATTGAAAAACGTTGATCATTTGCCAAGTTCAAAACAACGCCTTTCACAAGTATGGCTTTACCCGGAAAAACACCTCCAGGAATGTCACTAGCAAAGGGAATTGTCTGAAATTAAATTCTAACAAAAAACAAAACCAAAAAATCTCCAAACTGGCAACTTTTAAAATTATGGAAGGAAAAATTGAAAAAAAACGGGCACCATAATAGACCCTGCTCTACACAATGGTATATGTTTCGTTGCAAAATTTTTGGTGGTAGTTCGGAATGTTCCCTTGTAAGTCGCGGACTGAGGAGGAAGGAAATAAATACCGAAAATTTTTTATAAACTAACAAACCTCACCAACTATAAATTTAAATTTTCCACACTTACAACATTATAATGTGCAGGAACAGCAGACATTGCCATTTGTTGATTATCGTCAGCCATATTTTTAATTAACGGAATTTTAAAAGGTTCGAGTATAAAAGTACCTAAAAATAAAAAAAATTCAAAATTAAAATTTAAACAAGAAATAAACCAAAGTAAATAAAAATGAATTTTTTTCACATCACTAAAAAGAACAAAAAAATAGTTAAATTTATTTTCATATCAAAATGAAAAACAATAAATACTTTTCTTAAATTTTTTTTCAATAGAAAAAAATATTTTTCTTAGTGTTAAGTAAAAACAACCAAAAAAAAAACAAATAAATTAAAAGTCAAAAATTTAATTTTTCCAATTTTCTCTCATCCCTGTTCAATTGTCTTAATAGCCATAGCCAATACCCCTTCCTTAGTTTTAGCTCCACCAATAAATCCAGTCATATGAACAAAACCAGCTCCAGGAATGCCCGATTTTTCTTCTAATTCTTGGTCACGAAAGCCCATCCAAGGAATTTTGACTCTTTAAAAATAGGGAATTTTGTAATTTCAAAATTATTTAAAAAGGAATAATCTTCTCGTTAGAGATTAAATTTATAGGATCAAACGAAGTTAAAAGTTTATCAACGGGAAAACATCGATCCTGCGACCTTCTGACAGTTATTGCTAGGCGTTGCCGATTACCACCTAAAAGCGGTGAGCGCATTGCGTTTTTCACGATTGCCTCTTGCGCTCATCCCTGCTACGTACAAGGAGTTTACAGACTAATTTAATAGGGGGTTCTCCATCCCTACTGAAAAATAAGTCACGATTTCCCCTTAAATTTCTAAATAAATGTAAAACAAAACCGATTTTCAAATCCACTCATTTCAGAAACTGGAATTGCTTGAACTCTCCATTTTCCAGAAGTATCACTATAAACAACCAAAGAAATATTTTCATTTTCAAGTTCCATTTCCTTCTCCAATTCGAAAAAGTGTTCTTTCCAAGGAATGTGTCCAGAAGCGAAAAACAAAATTTTGCCAGATTCGTGAACCTTAAAATTGAAAAAAATTTTAATACAAATTTTTAAAATTCAAAAAAACCTCAAATCTATTTTTAATCGCTTCTTCAACAAAATGTCTCGCTGGCATCCAAGCATTCAAAAAATAACCAAGTTTCTCCTCAAATTCTTCGCCCACAATTTCTCTAGCTCGACAAAAACTTTTATCTGGGTCGGGGTTTGGGTCATTCCAAGCAGGATTGCAACTTTGAACACGCGAGTTTAATGTGCTTGCCAATTGATATCTTTAAAGAGAAATAATTGAGAAATAAATTATGATTACTTAAGTTAGCAAGGGCGTAGCTATTTTCCCCATAGTCCCCCTGAAGTGGGGAAAAGGGAAAAATATTGGGAGTAAAAGGATAGGAAAACGCCAAAATTTTGGCGAGATACAATAGTTTTGTAATTCTCTACAATAATATAATATTTAATGGAGCGTTTCTTTTATTTTTACCTCATAACAAGTTCTGAAAATATGTAAAGAAAAAAGGAAATAAGTAGTTGGGACACGATATCGGGCCTTTCGAGCTAGTCTTCGGCAAAATGACGCGATTGGCCCCTCAGCTAGCCAAATCCTAAATCACCTATACCCGACCCCAACCCTAGAAATAATTTAATAAAAAACTTTACTTTGGAGTTCCCTCATACTGATCAATTCCATTATCAATAGCATCCACTGACTCAACAAAAGTTTTGTAAAGACGCTCATATAAACGTAACAAATCTGGATTGTCTTCGCCCTGAATTCCAGTAAGATGAGCAATTAATTGCTTTCCATAATGCGCATAAATTAAACCAGCAGAGCTCAATTTGGTCTAAAAATTTTTTTAATATTTAGAAAAATATCCGCAAATGTTTTGCGGATAAATCCGCAAATTCAAAAATGAGGATTTTAAACTTATTGACCTCGGAGGAGGAATTAAATTTTTAATTTTAAAAACAAGAAAGAGAAAATGAAAAATAAAAATTTTCCTCACCTCAAAGTCAAGTCCAGTCAAAGTCTTCATTGTGTCATTAAAGTCCCTTTAAAAAAACAAAAATAATAAATAAAATTAAATATGTAAAAACCGTTGATGATGATCATAGCGCTTAGTTCGATGATCATAAACACCTCCAACATCCACAACAATTTCACACTTCTCTAAAAAAGAAAAGAGAAAATTTTTTTATATTTGGCAAAATGTCCGCAAATATTTTGCGGACAAATCCGCAATTTATATTTATCAAAACAAACCCAAAATTGCTGGATCCCGGCTTCTAACAATTTGATAGTCAGCAAAATTAGGCAATTTCTTTAGCATATAACAAGCAAAAACTTCGTCACAATGAAATTTGCCATCGTGAGTCCCAATCCAGTTATTATGCATTCTCTGGGAAAATTTAAGGAAAGGAAAAAATAAGCGATTAGAAAATAAACGATAAATTTTTCTGGAAAAAATAGAAATGTAAATTTTGATGGGGATTATAGAAAAATAAGTGAGATCATGAAAAAATAAGTGAGACATGAATTAATAAAAGAGCGGCAAGTAAATAGAAGTTAATTAAATAGGTACAAAAGTTTGGATTAAGGTTAAGTAAAAGATTAATAAAAAAATAGAAAGAGGAATAAATTCAAATGTTTTGGGGAAATGTTGGATAAAAAAGAAACATTTACCAAAACGAGGGAATTAGTAGTTTTTTGAAATGAAAGGGGGAAGGGAAGCATTTAAAATAAAACAAAAATAATCTTAACTAAATCTGTCCATTACGTACAATCTTAGGGAAGGAAAAAAAAGAAAAAATGGGGGGACCAGCTTCAGAATTATCAAATCTTTCAGTCAATAAAAAGTTATTTTTTAAGTAAATGACCTTCATTAAAGTCTAGACAAAAAATATGCGTCGATAGTGTAAGTATGAAAGGGGGAAAAATAAGCAAAAAATTTGTTGTTGAGAGCATAACGAAATTAAATGAGTCATTAAAAATTAACCTTTTTTAGTTGTTTTTTGAGATTTAAAAGTAAGGATTAACTAAATTTTAAGAAAAAAAGGATGACGTCTAAAGAAATCCCTCATAAACCAACTAACGAGGAAGAGATTAAAATTGTTTTGCTAAAGGAAAGTGAAATAACCCCTCTACTAGAACAAAAACAACAAACAAAAGGATTAAAAGACAACAAAACGTGAATAATTTTCGTAAATATTATTATCAAATAACAAAAGTTTATCAGAAACTAACATTCATTCCTTTATCAATTTCTAAAAAACTAATTTTTTTCTCTGATTCTCTAAACTCTCTAACTTTCCAATTATCTCTAATTAAAAAAGATAAAAAGTCAAAAAAAACATAATGCCAAAAATTTTAAATTTAAAGTAAAATTTGAATTAAAGTAAACGTCAACTAATCAATTTTTAAGCTCAACTCAACGTCAGCTTATCGAATAAATTCTTTCTTTTATTTATTTCAATCGTTATTTCTTTAAATCTTTTAAAATAATTTATTGAAAAAGCTTTTTTAAGGCTAATTTTAACCATTTATTTCTTTAAACAGCAAAATGGTTAGTGGAAGTACTCTTCATCGAGCCTCACAACAGGGATGGACTCAACGTGCTTTAAATTTGGCTTTTTGTGCTGGTGGTATAATTGTTTGTTATGGGGCCTTTAGCTTTTTTCAGGAAAAAATGTTTGTTTTATTTTATGGAGATTTTAATTTTAAAAAATTTTTCCCCTAAAAAATTTTGCCCTAATTCTTGTCCTGTTTTTGCTTTAATTTTTTTATATTTTTTCCCTAGCTAAAAGGATCCCTCTCTTATTTTTTACATTTACTTTTTGACTTTTTTCAAATCCTTCCCAATCCTCTCCACATTATTTAAAAGTTATGGGGCCCAAAATGTATTTATAAGAAGAGTAGAGGGTTTCTGGGTTTCTTTCTGATATACCCCCCCTCTCTCCCCTAAGAATTTCCTCAAAAATTCAAAAAAAAATTTTTTCAGTACAATAAAAACTTACGGAGAAAAGAACGAAAAATTTATTTATATGCAAGCACTAGTATTTTTTCAATGTATTTGTAATTTATTATTAGCTACAATAGTGAAAAATAATGGAACAAAAACAGCAATTATTAGAGATAATGTGCCTTCTTTTATGTATTCAATTTGCTCTATTTCCTATTTTTTGGCAATGCTTTTTAGCAATATGGCTTTGGAATGGGTTAATTATCCAACACAGGTTTTTAGATTATTTTTTTATTTTTATTCTATTAAGGAGTGGGCACTTGAAATTTTTTTCGAATTTTATACTTTCCGTTTTTCAATTGCAAGTGTTCCTTTAACTAACAAAAAAGCCTGTTCTTTTATTTCTTTATAAAAGAAAATTTAATTTTTCCTCTCAAGATTTTTGTGGTGTAGTGGTATCATTTCTGCCTACACTTTTTTCTCGTCAGGGTTCGAACCCTTCCGAGCCAAACACTTTCTTTTGTCTATTTTATTGTTTTTAATCAAAAATTTTTCCTTTTTTTTACTAATTTTATTTCAAAAAATTTTTTCAGATTCTCGGAAAATCTTGTAAACCAATTCCAATAATGCTTTTTGGTGTTTTCTTTGCTCATAAACGCTACCCTCTTCGAAAATATTTTTATGTTTTATTAATAGTTATTGGAATGGCTATATTTTTGTATAAACCTGGAAAACAAGTAAAACATTTTGAATTTGGAGCAGGAGAATTACTTTTGTGTGCATCTTTGGCTATGGATGGAGTTACTGGGGCTGTGCAAGGTTTTCTTTTGAATTTTATTTTAAATAGAATAAGGAAGAAAAAACAATATTTTAGTAGACAAATAATTTTTTTTTTAAATAAAATTAAAAAAAATTTTTTTGAATTTTTTTCTTACACAAAATAATGTTTTTTCTTAATTTTCTCCACCCTAGAAACACTTATCCCTCACTGTGTACCCTTAGTTAAGTGCAAGTGTGTTAGAGTTTCCGTTTGGAATGGTAAAGGTTCGAACCCTCTCGGGTCCCTAACCCTTTCTACATTCCTTTTTTATATATAAATTATTTTTTTAAATTATTTAACAAAATTTTCATTTAATTTAAATTTTTTAATCAAATTAAATTTAAAGATCGAATTCGTCATTACTACACAACCGATAAATGGGCAATGATGTTCTCGATGAATGCCTTTTCTTCAGCATTTCTTTCTTTAATGTTGGTAGTCTCTGGAGAATTAATTGCTTTTTTCAATTTTCTTGTTGCCTATCCTGGAGCTTTAAGGGAAATTTTATTGTTTTCTGTGTCGGGGGCTGTTGGACAGGTTTTTTTGAATCAAAAAAATTTTCTAAATTTAATTTATTTCAAGTGTTTCATCTTCAAAACAGTCACGGATTTTGGCCCTCTTACTTGTTCTATTGTTACAACATTACGAAAAGTATAAAAAAAAAGTTTGGCTCTTTTACAGTTTATGTGTCCCTTTTTTTCTAAGTTGGCCTTGGGTTCCTTAGAATTTTTTTGAGGTTGACTTGACATCCTTTAGTCAAAATTTATGAGCAAGCCAACGGCTCTAGGTCGTCTTCGGCACACTGAATCGGGACGATACCAGAATCGTACTGATGAGATTTTTGGAATTTTCTTTACTTGCTCACCGCCACTTTTCAGAACTTGTTAGGCACCAGAAAAATTTATTTTCCGAATTCGAGTCCAAAGTCAATTCCTATGGGGCGCATAAACTGTAAAAGAGAGCCAAAAGTTTCTTTAAAAAATCAAAAAAAAATTTCCTTTTTAGTTATTCAGTCTAGTCTTCTCAATTCTTCTTTTCTCCCATCCATACACAAACAGACACATTTTAGGAACAATTTTAGTGTTCGCAGCCCTTTTGCTAGACGCTCTCGATAGTCGAAAAAATCATCAAAAAGAAAAAGAGAAAAATGGTGGGATTGGTTATAAACCTATTCCTGTGGAAGAAAAAAGAACTTGAAAAAAAATTAAAAAAAAGGTCTGGAAATTTATTTTTTTGGGTATTTTCTGAAAATTAAAAAAAAGAAAATTTTTTAAAATTTTCTCCCATAACTTTTTCAAAAATGTTCTCTCTCTTCTATTTAAAATATTTTTACATTCCAAAAAAAATATTAAAAAATTTTTGTTGAATTTTTTTAAACATTTTAGAGAACTAAAAGAATTCGTTAAAACAATTTTATTTTCTTTGTATTAACACACAATTAAACCTTCAATTTTTGTTTCTTTTTTAATTTTAGTATCTTCTCTCTATTGTTAATTTTGATTTTTTTTTAAATTTTTTGGTTTAAAGTAAAAAATTATTTAAAAATGTTTTATTTTTTATTTTAAATTCTCTCTACCTAGGTCTCCTCACTATGATAGAGTAAGTAACGAGAAAAATCCAACTAAAAGGAAAAATTGCATCCTCCCCCGACCCCTCCTCCTATTAGAAATGGGGAAAACCTAATTTCTTTAGGATGGTATAAAGCCATAATACCAAACGCTGAAAGACAAAATAAATACCAAATTGTTGACAACCTCACCTGTTGTTGAAACAACATATTAATGTTAGAACACAGGAGGTATAGTTAACATAGTTTGGTATTACGGCGCTACGAATAGGATTTATGCCTACATTTTTAAAAATAACTTTCTTATTTTAAAAAATTAAAACAAAATCAAGACCAGCAAAAAAAGTTTATTTTTGTGCTATGAAAAGAAAGGGAAAATTTTTTTAAAAAATCGAAAAAGAAAAACAATTGCGCACCCAAAAATTTAAATCTTAAAAATTTCCTCAAAAAAAAACTTTTTTTTTGAGTGCGCTTTCCTTCCCAACAAATATATCACAGTGGAAAAATAGAAAAGGTACTGACAAATTAATTGGATGTGTTTTTTTATTTGGTTGATAGAAAAAAGAGAAAATTAAATAAAATCTACCACCTAAATAACCCATTTTTTTTTTAAAATAACAGAAAAAATTATGAGGAAAATTAGTGCAAAAAGAAGAAAATTCACATTTTTAGAAAAATAGTATGCAAATATTGTTTAAAAAAGGGAAACCATATATTTTCCCGAAATTAATAAATTTTTTGGTTTTTGTCCAGATTAGGCGTCCAATGACACTTTTATAGAAAAATAATTACCCCAAATTTACCCCAAAAATATACCATAAAAATGTCAGGTTGGTGTCCTACCTGTCTTCAACTTGAGAAAAAATGCAAGAAAAGGAAGGAAAGATAAGCATTCTTTTTGCGAACAGGTAGGACACCAACAGGACATTTACCCCTTTATACGTCCAACGAAAAGTTTATATACATAGTCCAATCACATTTTTATGCATAAATTACTGGCAATAAATACTCATTTCTGCGTTGTTAGCACGCAAAGCTGAGTACTTATCACCGTATATTGGACTTATAAAAAGGTTGTTTGTTTAATTGATTGGACGCATAATCCCAGGGTTTCGATATCTGCGGATTTTTCCTCATTTTGTGGTTTTTTGATAGAGCGATGAGGATTATTTTTTAAAATGCGGATTTGCGGATTTTTGTGGCCTTTTGAAGATTATGAGGATTTTTTATATTTTTTTGTGGTTTTTAGCAAAAATGTCATTATTTTTCCGCTAAGACTTTCTAAAATCCTCAAAATTTTCGCATGCGGCGCTGAAAATGGTGAAATCTGGCTTCTTGGCCTTCCAAAATTCTCAAAATTTCCGCCTGCGGCGCAGAAAAGGAAGTGTCCTTGATCTTCAAAATCCTCAAAATTTTTTGCCTGGCCTGAAAATGAACGATTTTTGGCTTAAGGATCTTCCAAAATTAAAAAAATTTTCGCCTGCGGCGCTGAAAATGGAAGAAATAAAAATTTGCGACATCTTCCTCGACAAAAATGCAAGTGTAATTTTTCAGAATGTAGTTGTCGGATTTTCATAAGATGATCATTAGTAATAAAAAAATTGCTTAATTTAATTGTAGAAGACGAAAAATACAATGCATAAAGTAGAGATCGGAATTTTGTTCCGTACCGTACTACCGATACGGAATACCGATAAATACCGAAAAATACGGCCGTAGTACGGTACGGTCCGATCTCTAGCATAAAGTGATTTTAGTTCAATTTTTGTGTTTGATAATTTCTTGCGGATTTTTGATATAAAATGCGGATTTTTTCGATCAATTTTGCGGATTTTTAAAAATTCGAGATCGAAACCCTGCATAATCCGGACAAAAGCCCCTAAATTTTTTGGTTGAAAGAGAAAATTATTTTTAATAAAATTTTTTGATAGAAGTTACTAACTTTAAGAGAGAGATTTGCGGACAGATTCCAAAATTAATTTTTCTCTCAAACAGAAAAAGCTATAAAGCCAAGAAACCGAGAATATAACCTAAACTATCCGCAAATCCCCCTCCTTTTAATTTTTTATTTCTATTTACCCCAAAAAATAAACCATTTATTTGTTTCCAATTCCAAATCCTTTGATTACAAAAAAAATTTTTCCTCTCAAATTTACTGCCACTGTCCAAGCCCTTAAAATAAAAAAATTAAAAAAAAAGATTAAAAAAACCTGAAGACGAAGAAATATTTTGTCCTCCAGAAGAAGATTTTTTGAGCTCATTCAAAGTTGGTGTCGCTTTTACTGGCGATTTGAGCGAAAGATTATCAAAATCTATATTTACCCTAAAAAATTTTAAAATTCAAAAAATTTTCAAAAAAATTCTTTTTTCCTTACTTTCCTTTAAAATCCTCCCACGTTTTTGGCAATTTTGGCTGATTTTTTATAGTTGTTGAGTTAGTTGTTGTTGTTGTTAGTTGAGCAGTAGCTAGAGAGGAAATGTTTGAAATGACTTCTTGTTGTGGAATTTGAACAGAATTTAGAAGATTGTCAATTTGATTAGTTGACGTTAATGTTGATTTTTGTATAGCCGGTGACATAAATTCTGTAAAAAAATTTCATTTTTAGATAAAATATAAAAAATAACGGGGGAAAGGTAAAAGAAAATGCTATTTCAAATAGTTAATCAAACGAATAGTTAATTATATCGAGACACGACTATAGAGGCGTATCTTAAAAATTAGGTTTGCCGTTTTCGAGTCGTGTCGACGGTCGGGGCATTTTTTCGGGCTTGTTTTTATCGAGTCAGCCTTATACGAGCCACTTTCGGGCCAAATATCTTAGGCCCGACTCGATCTTTCGGTCCGAGTCGGTTCATTTTGGCAACCCTAATAAAAATAATAGTGAGAGAGCTTGAAAAGAATCATTATGTGTGAACATGAACTTTATATAAAAAGTTATATTTACTTTATATAAAATTTTTTTACCATTTTGTATTATTGGCTGTGTTGGAGAAGAAAACAAATCCAAAAGTTCTGGAGCAGCAGAAGGAATTGAAGGTGTTGATTGAACAAAATTAGTAGTATTCACATTTTGTGGAGCTATTGGAGATATTGACTGTTGTTGTTGTTGAGACTTTGGACGTTCAATAAATATTATGTTAGATTCTGGTAAATTTTTTGATGAAGAAAAAGGATCAAAATTTCCGAAATTTTGTTGAATTTTTGTTGGTTTGGTTGTTGGCACATCTCCAATTAAATCCAAGCCTAGAAGATCAACATCTCCACCACCGCCACCAACAGGTTTTGAATTAGCCAAAGAAATATTTTTTGAAGACGAAAATGTTGGAATTGTTTGTTTTCCATTTGTTGGGGCAGCAGCTCTAGCAGATGTAAAATCACCAAATTCTTCATCTTCTGCCTCATCTTGAGGTTCTGGTGTTCTCTAAAAATATTAAAAACTTAAGAAAAGTAAGGATCGGAGTTAGAAGAGATTTCTTAGTTTCACAAGACTAGTTGAAGATACAGAAAATATGTAGGACCATAATTTAAGCAAAATCTAACAAGGGAACATGATCTCTAAGAAATCGATATTTTAAGTAGTATTCAATAGAAGACACCATTGTAGTTTCTTTTTGTTGACTATGAAATTTTTTGTTGGTTTTCTTTGTAAAAAGCAAGACGATAGTCCCTCAGGAAATAAAAAAATATTTTTTTGAAGAGTGAACGACGGTCTAATAAAAGCCACGGGAGAAACAGGAAAAAATTCTAAATGACTTTGGACCCGGCAAAAGAGCTTAACTAAAATCAAGGTCAACAATAAAAAATTAAAAAAAAAACCTCTCTAATTCCCAATTCAGGAGAACCACTCGCTCTTGAACGCGAATTATCCGCTGTATCAAAATCAAAGGCTGTAACTTCCCTTCGGGCACTATTAGAACCGCTACGAGAAGTTGATTTCCATTCTTTTTGTTTCTCTTCTCGTTCATCTTTTTCAACTTTCTTTTCATTCCAGCGTTCAAAAGAATCGAATTTTGAGGAATTAGAGCCTCCTCTATATAACATATCATCTTTTGAAAATCCTTGGTATTTCTCTCTCCCATCAGCTTTTGCTTTACGACGTTCATTTCTCAACAATTCATCATCATTTAATAATTCCAAAATTAATTTGACACGATGACGAACTGAAAAAGTTTTTAATTGAAATAAAATAAGTATCCTTAAAGGATAGAAAAATGTTCATCAGGTAATGAAAAAACCACAATAAAAAGGGATTTTATAGCCTGATCTGAGCCTAGTCTCAGTTTATTAACTCAAGAATCTAAAAATGTTTAAGTAAAGATCAGTAGCCCAAAACTTATAGTTAGCACAAAGCTAGCTTGATTAAAGTAGAAATCCATCCCCTGTTAAGGAATTACTTGAGAAAACGCTGTCTTATAAACGCCGTCACTTACAATTTATCGCCCAATTTGCGCATTTCACCCAATTTTTAATCTTAAAAAATAATACCATTTGCCCCTTCGTCTTTTCCTCTTTCATCAAGACATTTGTAACTTTCCAGAGCCCGCATTTCAAAAGAATGATCACGGGCTGTAGAAATAACTCGTTCGCTCCCATTTTTGAGCAAATAATTGAGCAGAATTAAAGACTAAAAATATATATTCCAGTTAAATTCCAAAAAATTCAAAAAACCTTGTAAACACGCCTCCAGGCCATTTTATTATCCTATAAAAACATTTTACTTACACTTAAACTATTTATCAAAAAAACCTGTAACAAACGCTTCCACAACATTCCCATAACCTCAGTAAATTGGTCATACTGAAAGGTTAAACTCGCAATTTCTTGCATTTCCGGTCCTGTTGGTCCTTTAAAAACACAATTTTATTTTTAAAAAAATTAAAAAAAAATACCCCAAGGATCTTCATTAGTAGCCTCACGAACTTTCTGCTCAGTTTCAGTAAAATTCATAACATAACCTTGACTTTAAGTAAAATTCTTTTTAGTAGCAAAAAACATCAATCTCTTACACTTTATCGCCCAATTTGCGCACTTCATAGCTGTTGAGGGTTTGTTGTACACTTTTTGTAAGACTGGCAATTCCTTGAAGCTGAAAACAAAAATAAAGATTTCTGTGGCTTTTATCAAAAACAAACCAATTCTGACATTTCTCTTCAATTATGTAGAAATACTAATTTTAACTTATCTAGTAAAATACAAAAACTTTTTAAATAAAATTCCGAATTAAAATTGTACAAACAATTATTCTTTGTACAAACATTAAATGGGCGCATAACTTAAAAATCGATAAAAAGAATACGAGAAGGAAAAGTTTTAAACAAAAAGATCTCTTTGCAGATCAGCCATTATTATTCGAATAACTTTGAGGGAAAAGATCCGAGAGAATTCAAACGCTAAGCTTCTAAAAGGGATGTAAAATACTCTAGAAGTAAAATCATAAATCTTTTTTAGATGCACACATTCATAATTTATATTGAGTGAATTTAGCCACTGACTCACAAAAATCACGATCACAAATAAATTTGGAGAATCAGAAACTCCAATTAAGGTTAAAAGAAAAGTGTTTAAAATTTATTTTAATTTTAAAGCAAATGAGAAAAAAAAGTCCGAGGTTCTATGCGAACAATAAATAAATAAGAATCATAATAAGAATCAAGATTTACATGGCAATATAGATATATTTATAAGTAACTCCATTAATAATTTGATGAAAGTGTGGAATCTTTACCAATTTGAATGAACTTTCTTCCTTCTTATCATTCGTGACGTTCACACATTTCAAAAATTGAATTTCTTCCGATTTGGATTCACCCAATTTCTTCTGTTCTTCCTTCTTTACCTCGCCATTAATACTTCGATTCAAATCCTTAAAAAGTACTTCCATCTTGGGTATCTTCAGGTCTTTCGCCTTGATCTTTCTTTTCCCATATCTATCTACATCTTTTAAAAAAACTTCAAGGCCTTTACGAACTTCGTTGTGGTCCAAGCTTCGAATGTCCAACAATAAAACGTTGATTGTTTCAAAATAATTCGCTATAACATAATTAGGAAGGCCACTATTGAAACCATAATGATGAGAACTAAAAACAAGTTAAGTATAAAAATTGGAAAGAAAATGGACATACAATCAGGGTAATACCGAAGAGTGATTTATTTACTTAGAAACGAAAAGAAGTATTACAAGTTATGCTAATCAAAATTAGAAAACTTTTTTATGAAGAATGTTCTTCAGGGCAAAAAGCGTAAGTCGGAATAGGCCTTAACTCAAAAGTTATTTAAGATCAAAACTAACTCTTTTGAAGAGTCGTAGACAAGTCTTATCAGTATTTTTGTGTTAACTGCGGGAGCAAAATTGGAAGCGTAGAAAAGTAGAATCTTGGTAGCCTTAAGAGTGGCTACAAAAATGCCAATCTTGGCAAATAACAATCTGATGGTGTGATGGACAGTCTTCCAAACCTGAAAAATTTAAATCAAAGTTGTTTTAAACGATTAAAAACATCATCGCAAACGTAGACAGTATCTGGAACTTCAAGCACAAGGTTAGCTTTTGCTTCTTTCAAGAATCTCTCAACATTATAATCTTTACTTGGAAACTAAAAATAAATTTAATAATCAAAATATTATAAAAAGAATGTATTCTTGAATCAATTTTCAAGAACATTCTATATGTTAAAAAATCGAGAAATCAAAAACAAACCCGCAAAGCCAATATGTCACATATCATAGCAGCGCCAATTGAGATATCATCAGCCTTTGCAATCACCGGCTTTCGTCCAAACATTGTGTCTGCCATTTTTTGTCGAAACTATTTGAAAGAAAAAAGTTTATAAATACCGGGATTTAGGCAAATCTCATTGATTAAGAAACTAAGCATTAATTTAAAAAAACCGGTACTATGCGTTTATATCCCCGCAATTCTGCAAATGTTTGTCCGCACTTTTTTTCATTCTTTCTCCTCAAAAAGGATTAGAAACGGTCAACTTAACGTCCATTTTTTCTTCGCCTTCTTTCTCCTCTCACAAAGATTAAAATGTTCAAGTAAAAATAAAGGAAGACAAATTTTATATAGGCGAAAAATATAGGCGAATGGTACCACTCTTTTTCCCGTAAATGCCTGTGGACCGAGATATATGGCTCAGAATGGTCAAAAACCATCGAGCAATTATCGTAACTTGTATCGTAACTATGTCCAATCTTGTTCAATCACGATGATTTTGATGTCATTTGACTCATTTCGTCTAACTGCTTCAAATGAGTATTTGTTTGTACAAAATTCGAAATGTTCATAGGCCCGTATTTCGGTCCAATCAAATCAGAATAATGGGGGGGGGGGGGGTGGTACCAAACAAACTATTACCGAAATAATTTCTAAACATTCCCTTATTTTTACCTTTATATTTTTCTATAAGCGAAAATTTGTCTTCCTTTATTTTTACTTGAACATTTTAATCTTTGTGAGAGGAGAAAGAAGGCTAAGAAAAAATGGACGTTAAGTTGACCGTTTCTAATCCTTTTTGAAAAGAAAGAATGAAAAAAGTGCGGACAAACATTTGCAGAATTGCGGGGATATAAACGCATAGTACCAAAAAACCTTATGATCAGATGCCAAAGTTCCAATAAGCATAACATCGTCTATTTCTTCCTTGTCCATCTTCGCATCAATTAAAGCTTTCGCATACAAGGACATTATTTTATCAATGTGGGATTCAGTTAAATGTCTATTTGGTTTTTTGAAGTGAGGAAATTTTTTGAAGGCTGTGTTGTCAATCAAATTAATGCTAGAAGTAAATTTAACTTCAAAGAGACCATTCTGCAATGCCAAAATTGAAATACTTAAAATTCCCAATTCCATGCCACAGACAGCCAAGCTAAAAATCATTTTATAAAATAAAAATTAAAATCACAAACGTAAATCCCTTAGAAGACATAGAGAACTTGGGAAAAGCTGCTGCTTCGTGTTCACTAACTATTTTGACGATTTTTATATGTGCCATTTCGGCCGCCCATTCAATTTGTGTACGCTGACCGGCACTGAAGTAAGAAGGTACGGTAATGACCGTCTCCAAATCACACGTTTTCAAATAATCTTCTGCCATATCACTCATCTTTTGTAAAATCAAAGAACAAATTTTTCTGGGTGAATAAATTTTGCCATTTGCTGCTTTAATCCCCGCATCGCCATTAGAATCTTCAAAAATGTTGTATTTGACATTTTCCCTAAATATAGAAGCAACTCATTACAAGCTAAACGATTACCTTATAATCTGAACAATCGGGTCATCAAATTTTTTTCCAATTAACAGCTCCATCATAAAAAAAATATTCTTAGAGTTTTTGTGTCGAATTGCCGCATCACCAATAATAATGTCATCGCCTTTTGCAAAAGCAACCACAGACGGAATAGTTTTAGTCTTCGAACCATCCTTGATCACCTAATTTTTAAATTTAATCAAAACAAAAATTTAAGATAAAACTTCGGCTTTTCTATCATTGAAAACGGCCACTCGGCAGTCTGTTAGACCCAATTCTAATCCGACTCTGGGCGTTGGGAAAGACATAACAGGCGGAACAGTGCAACTTTAAAAACAAAAAAATTTAAGTTTAAAGAAAACAAATTACAAATTTCTTAAAGCCAAACTCTTGAAACATCTAAAAAGTAAACTCATTTTAACTAATCTGTAATTATTTTTTAAGAAAACCAGAATAAAGTCTAAAATAGAATTTTAAAACTAAAATGAATAAACTGAATGCAGTAAAGCAGATGGACTATCAAATTCATTGACGAAAAGTCCGTTGACGGAAATTCTATTGACGAAAAGTCATGCCACTGTTTGTTATTTTAACTTTTCGACGTTTCGTGTTTATTTTTTGAATTAAATTTCAAAGTGTAAATTTTCATTTTCCATGTTGTCAAATAGGTCTCGGACACTTTGCATGGGTGTTTATTCGTTCTTCTTCTTTTTTACTTAAATTCTTTGTTTTATTATGATCCAACTCGTGTCAGCTCATGTGGTAAACGAAACAATTTTTGATGTTATTATTCTTGTCTCTGATGGAGTTAAATCTTTGTCTTTGTTGGAAGATAAGTACGCTGAAGTACGCTTAGCAGTAGAAAACTTTTCTAAGGTTTTTTTGGATTTTAAAAAATTATATTTTTAAATTAAGATTTGTTGTTCATTAGATGATGGAAATGATTGGCTTATTCCAGCAGAAAAGATTCCAGCAAAACGCGTAATCTATTCAAGTACAGGCTCTATTCATGGAGATTTTGATGATGTTAGGAAATATATAAAAGCAGGGATTGCAGCGGGAAAAAGGTTTGAAACTTTTTAAAATAATAATTTAATATGAAATTTTTTAAAAGAATCCATTGTTTTTAATCTACTAGCACGATAGGAGTTTGGTTAAGTGGGAAAGGTGTTGGTTGTACCTAGTAGAGATCGAGATTTTTGAAAAGCATGGGCCTGTTCCTGGGCTATGGGTTTGATTTATTGACCTGGGCCTGTAGTCCAGGAAAAACCCAGGCCCAGGAAAAACCCAGGAAAGTCAAAAAAATGCCTGGACCTGGACTCTGGGTACAGGAAAAATCCAGGCCTTGGTCCAGGCCCAGCTCGATCTCTAGTACTTATTGTTAGTTTAGCGGAAGTTCGGGTCTTTTTCATTGGGTTTTTATGCTTTTATGCGTAAATTTAAAAAATTTTTTTTGAATTTTCTAATTATGTAATAAGTCTTTTGCCGTATTATTATGTTAACTTTTCTCATTATTTCGTTAAAAAATGCTAAAAAATTTGATTTTTTTAGGTTTTTAATGACTGGAGCTCGTTCCCCTCTTCTAATAACTTTGCCTACTGAACGTTTTCCAGCAGCCCAAATATGTTCTGCTATCGGATTTCTCCATTCATTATATACACCTCTTCTAAATCGAGAAAAAATTGAAAATTTTGTTGAAAAGGCTGATTTAATTGGAATTTTGGAATTAAAAACAAAATGCCAAAAATTTGAAAATTTTGTACCTTATGGGTCTTTGGATGATTTTTTACAAGGAATTCAAAGCTCTTTTAATTTGTGTAGAGATATTGGAGATGGGGTTTGGTTTTTTTTAATTTTTAAAATTAAATTTAATAAATTTTCAATATTAAAATAAGGC